TTAAAACAGCTAAAATGGTAGCTTGATTTATTTTATTTTTTTTTAAGAATGAATAGCGGAGAAAAAAAACCCCATTCAGATACAGTACACTGTATGTTAGGGATGTAACGGTACGCTAAAAATCACATTTCTGTTCGGTTCAGTTTCAAGGAAGGCTTGGTTCGGTTAATTTTCGGCACAGAAAAGGCCAAAATAAAGACTTACAAAACGTTTATTTTGAAAATATGCCAAGTAAGCAATACGTTTGTATAAAAATAAATAAAAGAGAACCATTTGGATGATTTTAAATAAATGGCACTCTTTACAATAAATATACTATACTAACAATAATGAAAATCTTAATAAATACAATAACAGTCAGAACCAGAACAATAAGAAGCAACAGACTGTTTAAAATCTAACTAATCAAGTTTTAAGTTTTTGGCCCAAAAAAAAAACAAACAAACTTGTCCACATTTTCTGTCAAAAGCTCAGATCTAGTTGCAGTGGATTTCTCCAGTGGTGGAGAAAACCGCTCACTAACAACATGTGGCAGGAATAAAGGGGTAGAGCTTGACTAATTTTGCAGTGTGGCTGGATTTGGCCTCATTACTCACAACCTCTTGGACCTGCTCCCACAGGTGGGACAGGTCCCTGAAAAAGTTCAGAGTTCACTCATCACAGACTTCTTAGCTGGAGGTGATCTCTGGTGGATATCCCTGAAGAGGAAGAAGACTCTGCTGCTATTTCTGTCCCAGAATGGAAATAAAACACAAAGAGGTAAAAAAAACAAAAAAAAACAGAGTTAATAAGATTATGATTTTAAATAATAATAAAAAAAGTTAATTAGATAATTATAATAAAATAATACCTCTTCTTGAATGGTTGTTATGAGGTGGTTAAATCTCTCGGTCATCATCATCATCAGGGCAGGGCTTTAATCTGGTCCAGGGCTTGTTGATAATATCAATTTTAGCTTTTTCATAAAGTGCTGCTAAAACTTTTTGGCTGAAGTGTTGACGTGATGGGATGTCGTAGCGGGGCTCAAGAACTTTAAAGCCGGTGCATCAACAGAATACAGACGTAGATCCAGAGCTTTAAAAACTCCTACAGCTTGTGTTATTGCTTTGGACTGATCTGAATTAGCTGATAAAGGTTATTTAAATGCTGCTGTTATTAGTCTTTGCAGCAAGCTACTTTTCTTCCTTGAAGAGACATTCACGTTCGGATGATGTCATTTCAAGTGTGTTAACAAGTTAGACGTGTTGCTGCTGCAGATCCAATCTCCGTGAACCAACGTCAACACACAGTGTTGGATTTGCGCTCGTCTTTTAACAAGAAAGCCATAATGTTCCCAAACAGGAGACCGCAACGAGAAGCTAATGCTAATGCAGCAAGATAATAGTGCCGTGCTGAAACATGTGTAGGAACTTTAGTTCCACTGCGTATAATCTCTTGTTTATAAAATTTAATGAGTGAAAAAATAACCGAAATGGTACACACGTGGACTGAACCAAACGTGCCGTACGGAAACGGTTCAATACACCCACGTGTACGTTACACCCCTAGTATATACTGTAATTAAGTTTGCCTTTATGTTTACCTTTGTAACAAAATTTTGATCTGAAAAGGCAAATTTTAAATACTACGGCAATTATTTAAAACTAATGAAAGGCTGAAATCTGGTCATATAAACAAAATTTAGGATGAGACATTTATGAATGGCAGTGTGTCTACAGTCTACACCTGTAAGTCTTCCATGCTGAATAAAAAGACTGGTCCTACAGGTTAACAGTGAACGCCAGTCCTTGTGAACAGACAAAATTGTGCCTTGACGTTTGAGTAATTGAATTTGTAAAAGTCATCATTTTACCCTATAATGTGATATTCAGTTTCAGAGAGGACTGAAATCTACAAATGGGTCGAACAGCTATGAAATTGCAACCAGAAAAGATGAAAGCCACACAGAAATGCACACTGTGCCATTAACCCAGCTTCCTATTTCATGTGGCTTCTGGCACTGCTGTTCCCGCCTCAGAGGAAGTTGACATGTGAGAATATAAACCACAGAGGGCATTGTGTTACAAAGACAGAGGGGGAACACTTTCCACACTTTAGCTGATACTATGACAATTTCATGAAAAAAATGTGTGAGGATTTGGATATCCTTTACAAAGATTCTCCATGTAAGAAATATAAAAATCTATTAGATTTGTGGACATTAAAAATCACAGCATAAATGCTGTAAAGGCTTATCAAATTGGTATGAAATGCTAACAAACTAGAGAGATTTGACATGTTAACACTATGTAGCGTATGGCAGGGGAGATGTAGCAAATCAGAGAAAAATAAAAGTGAGGGGGAAACCTTTCAATCATGGGGTCGCAATGAATCCACAAAGATGAACGGCACTATAAGACGACCAGTCTGTGATTTATCTCTAGTCTTTCACATCTTGACTTTGTAGAACAGCCAATCTTCAAACAGACAGAATATTGATGCAGAGAATATTAATATGCTAAAATGTTAACAAGGTCAGATAATAGCTGTCATAAGGTTTATTGAGGTATCCATAAAGAGCAATAGTATTGCTTGGAATACCACAATTACAAATTGTGATTTGAATTAAATTGTGGATGTGAGGGAATAAGTTGAAACTGTGCAGTTACATTTTTGTACAATAAAGTGTGTTTCTGTAAAATTTTCATCTTGTGCATCCATGTTGTGCAGAGTTAAAATTGTCACTGTAGTGATGTCTACTGTTTACCAGAGGTTTAACAGAGAGCACTGCATTTCAAAGGATTTCGGCAACTCCACCATGTGGACAGCACTACTTCCTCACTCCATTATCAAAGTCAGACTTTTTTTTATTAACGTCTCAAAAGTTTGTTCGATATATTAAAAATCATGGCTCAGTCGGTATAGCTGTTGTCTCTCAACGAGAAGGTTGCCGGATGGAATCCCGGCCAGGGGCCATTCAGAGTGGACTTTGAATGTTCTCTCTATGTATGTGTGGGTTTTCTCTGGGTACTCCAGTTTCCTCCCACAGACTAAAAACATGCATGCTAGGCTGATTGGTAACTCTAAATTGCCCCTAGGTGTGAGTGAGAGAGTGAATGGTTGTTTGTCTCCCGGTGTCCCTGTGACGGACTGGAGACCAGTCCAGGGTGTCCACTAGGAATGTGCGATATAAACGGTACACAGTAGAAACAATAGAAATTTAGCCTACGATAGAGATCCGACTTCTACCGGCTAACTGCAGTAATGCTGTGTCTGATGTAAAATCAGAGTTGTCAGATTTAATTGTTACTTTTTTTTAGTTGAAAACTGTGCGCAAGTGGTGTTAATGTCTTTTCTTCGAGGGCTAAGTAGCGAAGCTACAAGCTAACTACGCCCGGCTTGCCGAAGTGATGCCGTATTCTGACGCATGCACAAAACGCTGTGTTCCGTCAAAAGTATTTTTTTTTTTCCGTCGAAAGTTAAAGTAAGCGTTGGTCAGCTTTAGAGAAACCTGCTCTCTGATCTGTGAAAATAATGTTGTGTTGTGTGATTTTACTGCGAGACCCTTTGGTCAAAGCCACAGAATCATTTTGTGTAAGCTCTCCATTAAAGCAGAAGGAGGCGCCGACTAGAGGGTTGGAGGGTGAAGTGTTTTAGTGTAAAATGCTGCTCTGTTGCTGTTCATTTCTTAAGTGAGAATACTGGAAACTGTTAAAGAGTTAACAACATATTCTTTTGTTTAAAACATATGGCTAAAACTACATTTGATATATTTTGCACTGTGTTGCACTACAAGAAAGAATTTGATTGATTTGTTTATTATTTTAAAACTCTCTGGACCTAGAAGTGGAATTTTCTTAATTCAAAATATATGATGGCAAAAGGACACCCTATGCTTTTTTAATTCCTATTGCAAGTTTTATACTAAAAACATATTGTGATATAAATCGTTATCGCCACCCTTCACAATACATATCGTGATATGAATTTTATGCTATTTCACACAATCCTAGTGTCGCCCACCTCTCGCACAGAGACTACTGGATATGGACACCAGTGACTCCACAAACCAGAAAAGAAGAAGCAGATAAAGACAATGAATGGATGTTAGTAAAATCTAGCAAAACATGTTCCTACTAAGTCAAAGTTCATACTCAATAATCCAGGTAAAAATAAAAAATAAAAAAAACAGCAAAGTTAAAACGATGAAAGACGAAATGTTTCAACAAAAAGAAACAGTCCAGAGGACCTGACTTAACTTTGTTGGATGCTGCTACTTCGTTAATTGATTGAACTGCAGTTGCTTTCAGAAAATGAAGATAATGAGAATGAACCTGACAAAAAAGTTAACGTAGGGCAGTTCATTACTTTCCAAAGTAAGCAGTGTGATCTAAAAACGTGACTAAAAAGAGAGCTGACTGGATAGTTTAACGAGCCTGTGATCCACAGCGATGGCAGAAAAATAACAGCTTCTTTCCTATTTGCACGCTTCAAGTACACTTTTGGATGAGGTCTTTAGCCAAGTTGCATGTAGGCCAACATTAAAATAAAAAAAACTTTAGATGTGTCATGTTGATTCTGTAACAATGTTATACATTTTCTGTTTGAGCCCTTATCTGCTCAGTTAATTAAATCCATTTGTTATATGTTAACGGTGTCAATAATACTTGTATGTTGCATCTTTAACCTGAGAAAATAAATTTAAAAAATGTATTAGAATCATTTAAAATTACCTAATTTACATGAATTAAGAAATTGTCTCCAGAGGCCTTTCTAGGCAGGCTAATAGCATAAACAACTGTATAATTATCAGAAGTCTTATTATTGAAAATTGGAGACCATTAAATGCTGAAGACAAACTGAAAACACATTTGAAAACAAATGTTTTAAGCATATTAATTATGCATTCTAATTTTAGCCCTAAATTTCCACGCATGCAAGAGTTTTAAAAGCACAACATCTGAATAAAGTCAGCTGATAAGTATACTTATCAGATGTATAAAATTCTAATCTTATCTTACCTTTTTGACTGTCAATGACAAAATTGCCTTCTTCATTTCCTGTGGTAATTTTATATGTGATCCCATCTCCATCAGGGTCCTTTGCAAGCACAGTGGCAACGAGTGTGTTGGGGCCTGCATCTTCAGAAACAAAGGTTCGGTATCTGGTAAAACACATGCAAAGAGCAACTGTCAACATCTGATTTTCAGTTGTCTTCATTTAGGTATACTTTTTCTGCAAGCTGTATGTACTGGCATACCTGTACAACAACAACAGGTAAAAAAAAAAAAAAAAGTTTATTTTTAAAACTATTTCAAGACATTCAACAAAGACACTTAAAATAGAGCAAAAGAAAAATACTAACACCAGGGATGCACAATATTGGATTTTTGGCCGATATCCAATATGCCAATATGTTAAAACTTATTTGGCCGATAACCAGTAACTGATACCGATACCAAATACCAATACCGATAGTTGTATCCCCCTAGACCAGGCATGGGCAAACCCCGACCTGCAGGCCATATACGACATGTTGGGCTTTTTAATTGGCCTGCCAAAATTTGGACTATTAATACATATATATATATATATATATATATAGAGAGAGAGAGAATTACAACTCATAGTGCTACAATAATCGATATTTTCACAAATGTAACATATGGGGATGTGATGGGAGGTATTTTAACGAGTGATTTGAGTGATCATTTACCAGTTTTCACGATTTATAAAAATGATCAATGCATTACTAAAGAAATTACAATTAAGGAAAAAACAATAAACACATCAAAAAAAGCAATGGACAAATTAAAAGATGATTTACATAAACAAAGCTGGAAAGACGTGTATGTTGATGATGTGA